CTTTCCTTTTCCCTTCCTTCCCTACTCTCTTTTCTCCCCTCACAAGGAGACAGACCCAAAGACCGAGATCCAATCCTCAATTTCCCCAATTATCCAGTCCTTCCAGACCAACCCATTCGCATCCCTCCCTTCCTTGCGCGCTTGCTCTTACTTTCGCTCTCGCGCACTCTCTCTCTCTCTCTCTCTCTCTCTCTCTCCCTCTCTCTCTCTTCATCTTTCTCTATTTCTCTCTGGTACTGGCACCATCTAATCGTCTTCCACTCTGCTGCTCTTTCAAATCTCCACATCTTCTTTCCCTTTTCCCACACCCCCTTCCTTCCCCCTCCCCCCTTCCAACTTTCTTCTTTCTCCCATCTTCCTCTAATACCAATCGCCTCTTAGTGCTGTCACTTAGCGGTTCCCAAACCGCCCCGTTTTACCCACCGGCCCTAGCAAGCAAAACTTCCTCTACATTATTATTTGCCTTCCGCTCTTGATCCATCTATCCGCGGTACTGAATTCCGACCTTGGAACTCCCTTCTCCCCCCCCCTCAAATGCTCCTCGATCCCTTTTCATAAGGAGAATTAGAGAAACAGAATAGCCAGCGCTGGTCTATTTCGCTTGCCCTCTGTCACTAGGCATCTGTCTAGATTCCAATCATGGCGAATGCGTGAGTATCTCCCTTTTATCGAAACACACCTGGCCACGTCTCCCGAGAATCCGAGCTCAGAGGTTGACCCTTTTATTAACCCATCCACAGCATCGGCTCAGCATGGCGGTCCTTTTGGCATACGATGACTTCTTATGATCGCCATGCTTCCCATGACTCGCCATATCGAACCGGTAAACATGTGCCTCTTAGTCAAAGTCGACACGAGCCTCTCACATCCATTGCAACAAGCGCTATCGAATCGCGACCGGATTTGACTTCCCCGTATGATGACGATCACCCCAAGGGCTCAAATGGCTGGTCCGGCTCACCTACCGGAGGGGGCTCGCCCAATCGCCCATACTCTCCTGGAATGCGATCATTGTCATCTCAGAAGCGTCAATCCGCAGATCCCAATGCGGATGGTGCCCCGGAGATTCAAATGCAAAGTTTCCATGATGGTGCTCCGCCCCCTCCCCCCATCGCTCATTCATGGAGGAAGATTGAGAAATGGCTGGAGAACAACTACCAGGAGCTCTGGGATAATCTATGCGAGGGCTGCACCCAAAATGACATCAACGAACTGGAGCACGAACTGGACTGCAGCCTGCCGTTGGAGCTGCGGGAATCTTTGATGGTCCATGATGGTCAGGAGCGGGGAGGATTGCCCACCGGTGTCATCTTCGGCTGCATGCTTCTGGACTGTGAGGAAATCGTTCAAGAATGGAAGAACTGGAGGGTAGTCAACGAGGAGTTTTTGAGCTCATCTATGATGAACGCTCCTCCAAGGGCAACTCCCAGTTCATCGTCCGCTGTGCCCCCTGCCCCGGGGGCTAATGGTGCTTGGAGAAACGACCTGCTCGAGCGACAGGACTCGCAGCCTCCCGGTGCAGTCCAGAAGGCCTATGCCCATCCGGCTTGGATTCCCCTGGCTCGCGACTGGGGCGGCAACCATATCGCTATCGACTTGGCCCCAGGACCTGCTGGAAAGTGGGGACAGGTTATCATCTTTGGCCGGGACTACGATTGTAAATACGTCATTGCTCGGTCCTGGGCTGCCTTCCTTGCGACGCTAGCAGATGATATTTGCAGTGGCAAGGTCTCGGTGGATGAAGAAACGAATGAGATGAAGCTGTTGGAGTTCAAGTCGCAGAACGTGGAACCCCCCTACCTGGAGATCTTGAGGTGGAGAACCGATCAGAAGTATGGCAGGAGACCACCTAGGCGCAAGGCTCCGAATGGCTTGGGTTTGAGCACGGGCGGCAAGTCGGGCAAAGAGTCCCCCTATGGCAGCCCAACTCCCAGTGAAGAGCGTGGAAGGTCTCCGCATCGCTTCCCCAACCGGGGGGCTACTCAAAGCCCCAAAACTCATTTCGGCATGTCAAGTCCGCTGGCTCGTGTCACAGAAGAGGCACAGAGTCCGGTGCACACCGTTGAGGAGACTGAGCTTCCAGAGCAGGCCGCCAAGGAGAACGAAGAAGAGCGTCAATCCGAAGACTTGATGGAGGTAGCTACGCCTCAAATCGGCGGGAAAGAGAACGAGGAAGCCGGAAAGACTGAGGAGCGCCAGTCGTTGGAAGCGGACAAGGCGCAAAAGCGTGACTCGAATCAACCGTCCTCGGCCACTGGCTTGGACGCCGAGGTCTTGGGTGAAATGAAAAATGTAGCGATCTAGACCTCGTTTTGAGCGATTGTTGCCTTATGTTGCTCCTTTTGTTCCGGCGCGTCATCTTCATCTTTTATCATGAGCACCTTGCTTTTGCGTTTCTAATGAGGAGTTTTCTGATCTTGTCTCCTTCCAGTCCAAGTGTCCCAGGCGCCCCTCCATGAAAGTTGATGGATTTGTGTGAACACTCTTCTGACCTACATGTATAAATCCTCGCATCGTCATACTCCATGATTCCTGTGGCCGTCCGTTTTCTTTCCAATTCTTTTCTTGTCATTTGCAACCTCCAGCAGCCTTATCTTTCTACTTGGGATGGTCACCCGCGATCTGTTTTGCTCCACATTTCTGTAACTTTACCTCAACGATGATGCTGTATTAGTTCTCTTCAAGGCTTTTTTTTTTTTTTTTTTTTCTGGATTTCTGCAGTAGTCGATGTGGTAATACTACTCACTCTACGACGATCTATCACTAGTATGATGATGTGTCTTGGCAGTTACTCAAGTGCTTGACTTCAATATATTCAGTACCCTGCTCCGGCATTGGTTGGTGCTGCGAATCCCGATATCGCCGGCTCTTTCTAGCTCGCCCATTTACAAGTATAGGCTCGACTGGAATAGCATCCAGGCATATTCCGAACCTGGAAGTCCATCACCCGAACTTGAGTCGCACCCTGCTCGGTTGGCAAGATCACTGCTGCAAATGCAGATTGGTCACACATCAACGTCAATGACTACAGCCAAGCAACGATCCTCTGGTCCCCAAGACTGTTGTCTCCATCCCGCCTTGTTTCATTGATGTAACGATGCATCCAACCACCAGACGGCGAGATACCGCTCTGCAATTATGGCAGGCTATCCAGGAAGGCCACTCGAATTTTTCAATCCCAGTCGTCATCATCGTCATCAGCATGCCTATAACTCCTCGCGTTGCCCGTCCGAATCGACCGCTTCCCCCGATCTCTGCGCTCTCCGCCATCACTATCATCATCTTCCGACCCATCAGACGCCCCATCACCAGCCCCGAACTTCTCCTGAGCAAGGATTCCCTTCCAAATCAACCTTTTCTCCAATGTAGCAGTGCTAAACCCATCTGTTCCATCCCGACCACCCGATCCTAGCCCCTCAAACCCAGTCACGCGCTCAACCCCAACTCCATCCTTGAATCCAATCACACATGGAAGCACCCGGATCTTCAACCGCTCCACGACAAACGGCGTGTTCCGTACATCCACCCGAGCAAAGCGTACCTCATGGTGTCGGGTTGCTAGCGCTCGAATATGCTCGTCCATTGTGCCGCAGCGCGCGAAATCCGGATGCGCAAAGTGAATCACGCATCGATGGGTCTGCGTGGTAAAGTCTAGGAGGGCTTGATCGCTGGAGATGGTCGGGTACAGACTGTCTTCGAGGATGGTGTGGTCGCGAGTGCGGCTGTCATTGTTGTTCTTGTTGTTTTGGGCCGAGGCAAATTCCGCATTGAGTTGCTCAATTCGGTGTGCTCGATAGGCTGTGTCGTCCTCGTTCTCTAGCGCGTCGAAGAGAGCGTCCGAGTCGGCGTCGTGGTCATCTTGGTCTCTTGCGGGGGGGTGGTCTTCGAAGGCGCGACTCATGGTTGTGGTGGGTTCTTTTCTATTGTGGGTTATAGTTGTAAAGATGGGCTTTCGGTGCAGAGAGCGAGGTTGAACCCGATGGTATATGTGTTCAATTGAAGAATAAGGGCAAGCCTTAGAAAGAGACAGGAAGAGGAGAGGTAGTATATATGGTAGTTATATGTTGATGATAAAGGACGAGGAGGGGAGTGCAAAGCACACGGTGGGTCGGAGGGGTAGGTAGGTGGAAGCTGAATGCTCCCGCAAAAGAGCTTCAGAGATTGACTTTGAGTGAGATAGAAGGTGGCTTAAATGAAGATATTATATGTAGGGATATGGATACAATATTCCAAGGTGAACAGTCGGTTCCCCTTTGTGACTTGATCGGGGAACGGAGTCTATACGGAGGCAGAAGAATCTACGGCGGGTTATCAGTCTGTTTGGACCGCATTGAAATTCCCAGTGCTGGTACGATACGGAGTATGGAGGAAGTCCCTGAAAAGGTACCACCGCCTCTTTGGTCAGGTACCAAGTGTAATTAATCATTACCACCAGATCCCGATTTCCCCAGCAATAGGGACAACGTGGCACTGTGAGACACATCACTGATAATCGGGAACAATCGACCAAGGCACAGGTAATATGAACTTGTAGAAAGCCAAGCATGGCACACCATCACAAAGAAACATGGCCCTACTGTATGTAACTATGTATGTACTGGTATACCAGCCAAGATTAAAAATAACCGACTGTACGCCGCATCCGGAGGAAGCGGGAGTTCCAGCCCAGGCGGGAAAGGAAACCTTTTTTTTTTTTCATTTCCCAGTAATTTGCTTTTCCCCCTTCGCCTTCCTTCGCGATATTAATATTCTTCTTCCTTCTGGTCTTTCTTCCTCCCCCCGGCTTATCCTCAGCCTCTTTCTCGACTTTCTCCTCCTCGTGTCTTCCCCACTCTTCTTCCCCCCTTGTCCTCTTCACATCTTCATCCCCCGTTCTTTCCAAACTGCCTGGCTGAGTGAACATATCTCCGGGCCGGTGTTTCGTGTTCTTTTTTTATACTTGCGGGTTTTCTTTCGTCTTAACGCTCGCTCCGGCGCCGCCACTATCTCTTCATCCCCGACTCGCCTTCGCCTTGCCACGACTTCTCCTCGTTCCCACAGGCCTATCGTTCTCAATTCCCACCCCCTTCGCATAGACACTCATTAAATCAGTCACCATGGCTGAAGGCAAGAAGACCGACGACTACACGATCCAGATGGATTCGATAGACCAGGGCAACAAGAGCTTCGAGGCGCCGCCGCCGCCTCAGCCCAGGAGTCCGCCGTCGGGCTCGCTGTCCAACAACCCCATCTTGCCCGTGTTGGCCTACTGTGGATCCTCGATCTTGATGACCGTCATGAACAAATATGTCTTGTCCGGCACTGATTTCAACCTCAACTTCTTCCTCCTCTGCATCCAGGTATGTTGGCTAATATCGGAGCACATGGCGGGTGTGTATTGCATGCTCAAGGCTGACCGCTGTTCGATTTCCCCTGCAGTCTCTCGTTTGTATCATTGCAATCCAGACCTGTAAATCATGCGGTTTGATCACTTATCGCGACTTCAGCGCGGACGAGGCCAGAAAGTGTAAGTGCCCAGACTCTACATGCGTGCTTTCAAACCCCCCCTCGCGACGCTCTCGAACTGACATGCCTTTGATTATCACTAGGGTTCCCCATCACTCTGCTCTTGATCGGCATGATCTACACGGGCTCTAAGGCGCTTCAGTTCCTCTCGATTCCCGTTTACACCATCTTCAAGAACTTGACCATCATCCTTATCGCCTACGGAGAGGTGCTGTGGTTCGGTGGCTCTGTCACCGGTCTTACCCTGTTCTCTTTCGGACTGATGGTTCTGAGCTCTATCATTGCCGCCTGGGCTGACATCAAGCACGCTGTGGAGAGCAATGGCGATGCGACCGCCAAGATGTCTACTTTGAATGCAGGTTACATCTGGATGCTGGTCAACTGCCTCTGCACATCGTCCTATGTTCTGGGCATGCGCAAGCGGATCAAGCTGACCAACTTCAAGGACTTTGACAGTACGTTGCTAGGAATAAAACTATTGTAGCTCGAAAGTATCGTTTTACTGACCTGCCGTTTTCTAGCCATGTTCTACAACAACCTTCTGTCGATCCCCGTCTTGATCGTTCTGTCCGCTTTCTTAGAAGACTGGTCATCCACCAACGTCAACCGCAATTTCCCTCCTGTGGACCGCAACAGCATCGTTTTCGCCATGATCCTCTCCGGCCTGTCGACTGTGTTCATTTCCTATACCTCCGCCTGGTGTGTTCGCGTCACTTCGTCGACCACTTACTCCATGGTTGGAGCTCTGAACAAGCTTCCCATTGCTATCTCTGGACTCATCTTCTTCGATGCTCCTGTTACCTTCCCCAGTGTTTCGGCTATCGTCGTTGGCTTTGTTAGCGGTATCGTTTACGCCGTTGCTAAGATCAAGCAAAACGCTAAGCCAAGGACTGGTGTCTTGCCAACCGCCAACCCCCCGGTCAGCGCCAGCAGCCAGAGTATGAGGGACTCCCTACGTTCCTAGTCGGGTTGCCAGTCATCAACTGGATGGTCAACTCGTTGTGGGCAACTGCTCCGGCTTGACCATCGTCAAGGTTGCTCCGTACCGAGTGCAAGACTGAACGTGCTCGTTACTCGCATGTGATATGTGATTCTTCGTTTCGTTGTATTTGGCGAGGGCTGTCGTTCAGACCCTGAATCACAGTCTTCATGCCTTCCTCGGCAGGTGTTGGTGGTTCTGTATTCAATTTCCACATGTCGAGCTACCTGAGAGGCCTTTGATTTGCTGTTATCGGTCTTTCAGCTTTGCTTTCAAATATCTGCCCCGATCATGACCCTTTTCGCATATTCTTTTTATTTTTGTTTCGGGCTGCGCAGATGGCTTCCATTTGAATATCATCTAGTAATGCCGTGGATTGATATGACATGTCTTATTTTTTTGCTGATCATGGCGTGTTCCGTGTTCTTGTCTGTGACGGGGCCTCGCAAGTTCAGGTTTCGTGCGGTTGAGGATTTATCGAAAAAGGAAGGCCTTTCCTGGTGTTCAAGCCTGTATATAAGAAGTTCTTTCTTTACTGCCTTATTAATAAATTTTATAGAATTGAAGCGTGTTTTTGGACGACTGAAGATCCCTTCGCGGTAAGAGTACTACTTAGTCGCCGAGGTTGCACTCGGAGTATCTTCTCATAATGTAAGGTCCCTGGAGCTTCGCGTGAACATGTTACATGGTTTTCTCAACAAATCTGTGTGTGTCACGGTTCTAAATCAACCACTTACTGTATAACTGCATTACCTAGATAGAACCTTGTTGAGCTACTTACTACGTACTACCATTAATAAGTACTGATGCATCTCCGGAGGTCTGTCTCTATGGGGTCCCGTCCCTACCATGATCCCGCAAACCCGACCCTCTCATTGGTCCATGCGGCAACCAGGCAATCATACGTAGTAGAATTTTGAACCGCCGCCGTGCCTCCATCGTACCTTAGTGCCTCTTCATCGCAAATATATATATATATATATCATTATCAAAAAAACATTTATATGAAATATATATATACAGTACACAACCTTTACCTAAGAAAAGAGACAACTCCCGTCTTTTCCTCTTTTCATCATTATTCCTAATACTCACCTTTTCCTTTTTTTACCCCTAACAATTTCCCTACATACTCTTAAAAAATCACCAGACAAGAGAAGGGAAGGGATTAAAAAAACTGAAAAAAGGAAGATAAAAGAAAAAATGCCCAAGTCCAAGAAAGGCGGGGGCCCATCCCCAGCAGGTCAGCAACAGCAACAGCAACAGCAACAACAGCATTCAAAAAAGCATCGCAAAATGTCTTCGTTTGCTAAGCTTTCGACTACCACCCCTACGAACTCTGCAAAGCCTAAAGCCGCTCAGAGTGCTCATCACAAACCCGGGTCGTCGGGTAATGCTAAAAACAGCAACAATGATCGAAAGATGAAGAATTCGCAGCAGCAACAGCAACAGGTGCAGAGGAACCAGCGGCCTATTGTGCCTTTTGGACGGAAGGATCGGATTTTGTTGGTTGGGGAAGGTGAGTCGGATTTGCCCTTTCTTCCCAATTATTACTTTTATGTGCCCTTCTTGCGGTTCGATAGATCCATGCATTGCCTTTACAATCTTGATACTTGCTTTTCTTTCTTCCTTTCCTCTTTTCTTCTTCTCGCGCGCGCTTTTCCTCCTCCCCACGCGGAAAGCAGATGCTCAGTGTTCAAGCTCGCGTTGGCCTTTGTCTACATCCTACTTGCTAATCCCCACCGGGGAAGGGGGAATCTGACCCGGAGAACCATGTCATAAAGTTGCTTTGTTGGACCGCAGTCCTAACTAGATTGATGTAGGCGACTTCTCCTTTGCTCGCTCATTAGTCCTCCAGCACCGTTGCAAGAATGTCATGGCTACCTGCTATGATTCCCAAGATACGCTCCACAGCAAATACCCCCAAGCTGAAAATAACATTCACGATATACAGTATGCATTTTCCAAGGCGACGACGGGGGAGCATGCTTCGGACAGTAAGGAGAACTCATCCAACGGAGACGGCACAAGCATTGTTGGAACCAATGCACAAGGGCTCCTTGAAGACCAGGCGCAACGTCGTGGACCCAAAGTCATTTACTCAGTTGACGCTCGAAAACTTGGTCTTCCTGCGGGTGGCGGTAAAGAAATACGGACGGGCTTTCCACGACAGGAGCGAAAACGCCCGGCCTGGAAAGAAGCAAAGAGCGGCACCTCATCTGCACCACAAGGTGGGCCGTGGGATGTGATCTGTTTCAACTTCCCCCATGTCGGCGGTATCTCCACCGACGTCAATCGGCAGGTGCGAGCCAACCAGGAACTCTTGGTGGCTTTTTTCAAAGCGTGCGTGCCTTTGTTGTCTCATCAACCCGAGCGCGTAGATAGTGACGATGAAGACGACTGGGACAACTGGGAGGACTCTGACGTTGAATCAAGCGGGGGAGAAAACGATCATGATGGCAGTGAAGACGGCGACCAACTGCGAACAGCCAATACTACCGGGCAGGCGACACGCCAAAACAGAGTGGAACCAGGTCAGATTCTAGTGTCGATGTTTGAGGGTGAGCCTTACACCCTCTGGAATATTAAAGACCTTGCAAGACATGCTGGCCTGCGAGTGGTCACCAGTTTTCGATTCCCGTGGGCCTCTTATAAGGAGTATTCCCATGCGCGGACGCTGGGCGACATTGAAGGAAAGGATGGTGGAAGAGGCGGCTGGAGGGGGGAAGATAGGGACGCGAGAATGTACGTCTTTGAGGTTAAACAGGAAGACCATCCAGTGAAACGGAAAAACGCCCCATCTTCCAAAGCTGGGCAGAGTGCGAAAAAGAAGAGGCCGAGAGATGCATCCGACAGTGACGACAGCGAATAGGAAACGCCTGTGCAAATTACTCGTTGCAGATATACATTCCACTGTCCGTTTCAACCCAGAAGAATGAGATAAGGAGTAGGGCCAGTTGCAGCTGTACATAGCCTTGGTACGCATTCCTTGTTTACATGATGTAGACTTTCTTCATATCACCCTCACTGAATACTTCACCGGTCGTAGGGTCCTTTACTTTACCTGCCTCAACACATCCGACTTTCTTGCTCATCTCTAAGAGCCGTTGCTGACCGTAAATCCTGCCATTTGGAAGCACAATCGGGTCGCTTTCAACGTAGCTCTTTGTGTGGTGAGCATATGGCATGTTACGTGCGAGCTCGTTAAGCTCGGTCGAACAAATTGGACAAACAGATGTTGTTGTAGACAGCGAGTTCGAACTGGAGGAGGTATAGGCCGAATGGCACGAAGGGGTTTTGAGAGCCGACAATCCCGCAGACAGAGCGATGTGTAATAAAGGGCGAGAAGATAATGACAAGAGTTCATGGTGAGTGCGGACAAAGAGATCGGAAAGATAAGCCCATCTTTCATGAGCATACATCGACTAAGGGTGAGTTAGTTTGTACAGTCTTTCATGAGAGTGTCTCCAATATCCCCATTACCTTGTACGGCTCAGCTTTGGTGTCTGGAGGAAAAGCGAGAAGTCCTGCAGCTCGATGAATCTCTACCGACTGTGTGTCAAGGTAAGGCGCCAGATATCTTTTGGCGTGAATCATAGCGTCGTTGAATCTCTCTTTATGCCCCGTTCTGACCATTTCAATGTATTGCTGCAATCGGAGTTCGAACTCCAGATTATACTGTAAACCATGGTCAGACTTGTGTTCTGGCATATAGCTCCGTGATCATCGGTCGATGTTAGACAAACCTGACTCTTCTTCAGCGCTGCTTTATTCTCGCCACACCATTGCAGGGCATCTTTAGTTTCACCAGCGCGTAGGCTCTCGGCAATCCGTTGACACTGTACGAAAACGTTGAGATCTACAAGCTCCTCGATCCCCTTCTCACGGGCTAATTGCTGGGCACTTTTGATATACCCGGAGCGTAACATATGATCTACCATGAGCCTGTCCAATCGAACCCTCGCCCACTGATCATACTGGACGTCTGCCAAGCTAGGAATCTGGTGAAGTTTCTCCAGGTGCTGGATACGCTTCCGGGACTGCTCTTGAATTTTTCTTTCCTCCTGATGTAAATTCTCCATTTTCCGTTTCAAGCCTTGCATGCGGGAAATCATAGCGTCGAGTGCAGCAAGAGCTTGGTCAGGCGTTTGCTCATTTGATAAGGATGCATTGGCGGTCTCCTTGAGTGCGGGGATGACATATTCCTTTTCACGCTCCACGAGGCGCTGAACAGATTTGAAATTTCGACGTGCAAGCTCATGTGGTAACCGTAGGAGAGGCTGGTCCTAGAATCAGACGACCAAATTAGTATCAGAATGCGGGGGCAAGTCGGCAATAGGTTGGGGGCATAGAGCTGAATACCAAGAGCAGATGGTTCTCCGCATTGAGCCGGGTAGATGTAAGTTCCGCAGCCATGGTGAACAAATATACAGCCAGTGATTGAGTTCCTGACTGGGCAGTTACAAGGCTAAGCACGATCAAATGGGACGTGAAGTAGACATAAGTGAATGGGGGAGCAGCAGATGGAAGTTGCCCGACGTGGTTACCGGAAGTAATGCGGGGGACACCGCCTCCGGTCACGGGCCTTCAGTCACGGTACCCGCGCCCAACTACGAAGACGTTCACTTATGTTCAAGGACCACGCAGGTGGAAATAGTAATTGAATCGAGAAAAGACACTGACATACAAGAACCGCAACAAAAATCTCTTTAGTAAATAGATTCCCTTTTCAAACCCAAGACTCCGACACAAAGAAACAAGTATGTTACAGGAATCATACCCAAGCGACGCTCCAACAAGCCTAGACCGATTGAATAGCGGCCGCTCCCCGTTCTGAGGCAGGTAAAGAACTTCCCGGAAGCGTTTAATCACTATCGTCGCTCTCCTCCTTCTCCTGCTTGGACTTCCGGCGCTCCTTCTTTTCCTTCTTTTCCTTCTTCTTGCGCTTGCGCTCGGCCCGCTCCTCGGGTGTCTCACCTTCGTGGCGCTTGCGCTTCTTCTTCTCGTCGTCATCGTCATCAACATCCATCTTGTTGGGAGAAGAAGGGGTTTCCGTTTGCTCGGCAGGAGTAGCAGCCTCTTCCTTAGCGACGGGTTGAGCCACTGCCTGCGCGCCTTCTTCTTCGGGTGCGCTGTAA